CAAAGACAGGCTCCATCTTCCCTTAAAATCCTGCAGAGCCTTCGTTAAAATGAGTGCAAGGCCTGTAGCACTGCGGCTTCTCCAGGCCTTACTGCCCCGGGACTCTGCCTCCTCTGAGCGGCCTCCTGGTCTGAATCTCACTGCACAGGCAGCCCTGCCCCTGCTCTCCATGTGGACCTGGCATGCAGAGCTCAGCCGTTCCCCTCTTGTGCCCATCTGGCTTGTGGGAATGAAGCTGGGTCATGGTGGAGGCCCAGGGCTCCGTAGATAAGTCCGGCCGGATGTCCTGCCTGGTTTCCTGAAAGAGTCCAGCTGACTTGCAGGAAGCGAAGTAATAACTTGGTTACTGTAAATTTAAAAAGTTATATAAAGTGAGGAGAAAAACATTAAAACAGGACATTGGAACCACCAGATAAAACACCACCAGAGATACAGGCCCAAACGCTTATCCATCCTGCACTCAAGCTGGGTCTGGCTCCAGGGATCTCAGCTGCAAATGTGGAAAATGGAAATGTGATTTCTATTTCCAGACTGGGCACCTGGGACAGTCCCGAGAGGTTTCCGGTGGTGCTGACACCATCCATGGAAATTGAGTTACTTAAAATTTGTAAATAAGCCAGAAATCCATTCAATAAAAGGAGAGAAAAATAGCAGAAGCAGCAGCTACAAGAAAACATACGAACTCTGTAAAATGTGATTGTGATGTTCCCCTTCTTCAGGAGGGGGGACCCATAGTTCCCGAGGACCACAGTTCCTCTTAGCAGGTGGCAGCCTGACAGAGGGGCCCAGTGCCCTGCCCCTGCCTTCTGTGATTCAGGAACAAGGCTTCTAAAGCCATTGCTGGAGGAATTCCTGGGCGGAGGCTGGAAGAGCAGCACCTTGCTCTCCAGGGTAGCTTGGCAGGGCTTGGGCAGCAGGGCTGAGCATGGCGTCCCTGGGGGCTGCTGACTCGGGGGTGTTCAGTTGCTCTCCCAAAGGCTCTGCTCAAGTGGCTTCTCTTACTGTGACCCTGCTTGGCAGTGAGGGGCTCAGTGGGGAACCAAGGGCAGAGGCTACTGGCTAGGCACCTAGGAGTTTCTGGGCGCCTGGGAGGGTCCCGTAAGGTTTCTGGTGGTGCTGATCACTTGGCCTCAGTGGCTCTAAAGTTGTTCTGGAATGTAGAGAAGAGACTGTTTCGTCATCGTAAAAACCCCAAATGTTTTGTGGATTACTATTGTTAACGCATGTCCTGTGAAGTAGCTCGTCACCTGAGGCCTTGTGAATACTAAAATGTGCATCTGGTGTCTGTTTCTGGGCTTTGAGGTTGGTGGCAGTTTTTCCTCCTGGTGGGGATGCTGTCTGCAGAGCACCAGGCTACTCCGTGGAGGCCACCGGGTGCTGCCTGGGGAGTGTGCGCCCGGCCAAGATCCCACAACTGTGACTTTACACAGGGTGGAGGCGGGAGCACAAGCCCTGCTCCTTGTTACAAAAGCAGTGCTCTGTGCGGGGCACATCCTTTGTGCCTTTATGTATGTGTACACCCAAGTACCCTGGGGCACACACATGAACATGCATGCATGCTTGTGGGTATACACACACGCACACACCCACAAACATGCCTGTCAGCACACACCATGGGCACACGTGCACACACAAACATGCACACATGCCTGTGGGCACACATCCACGGGCACACACGTGCATACACTGACAAACACATGCTTGTGAGCACATGCCCACAGGCACACGTGCACACACAAACACGTGAACATGCCTGTGGGCACACACCCACAGCACACACATGCACACACCCACAAACATGCCTGTGACCATACCCACAGGCACACACATGAACACACCCACGGGCACACACACAAACACATCCACGCATATGTGCCTGTGGACACACATCCACACATGCACACACCCACACACATGCACACACCCACAAACATGCCTATGGGCACACCCACAGGCACACACATGCACACACCCACACACGTGCTGGGGGCACACACACCCATGGGCACCCATGCACACAGCCACAAACATGTCTGGGATCACACACACCCACGGACATACACACACATGCCTATGGGCACACACCCATGGGCACACACATGCACACACACATGTTCCTGGGGACACACGAACCCATGGGCACACACACATAAACATATGCCTGTGGGCACACATACCCACGGGTACACACCTACACACATGTGCCTGGGGGTGCACACCCACCCATAGGCACACGTGTGCACCCATCCACAAACACATACCTGTGGGCACACGTTGGCACATGCACACAAAACATGCCTGTGGGCTCACCGACAGGCACGCACATGCACACACCCGTGCATATATTGCACACACATGGGCACAGGCACACACTCCCACTTTCTTACCCTCTGGAGTTTCTTTCCCCTGAAGTTTCAGAGGGTTTTTCTGAAGATTCCGCGTTGGTGGTCCCAGTGTTTTCAAGGTTCTCAGTGACAGAACAGTCAGGAGTGGTGAGAAGATGTGTCCCACGCGAGGATGGGCTGTGGAGCTGGGCTTAGCACAGTGCATTTCTCCCTGGGGGTCCCTGACATCAGATCTCGGCGGTGCCTAACGCAGACCCCACAGATGTAGGAAAATCAGAGGATGGCTCCCCTGCATCAGTGGCCAGCACGAGAATGTGTGTGAAGGAAATGTGGCTTTCCACCGGGTCTCCGTTAACCAGGATTCTATCACGGTGGAAGTCCGTGGCATTCTGCTTTTGTGGAAAGATCAAGTGATGTTTCTTTTGTGTTTAAATGGATACTTCTGTTTCCAAAATGTTCAAAACAATGTAGGCATTTTAGGCATCCCTTGGAAGTTTGTGTTTTCATGACAAAAAATGGTTTTCTAAGTAAACTTTACCCCAGTCTCTGACCCAGTTACAAAAATTATGAAATCGGTAAAATCCAAATGAAATGCCTGTCATCAGGGCTGCTGCAGAGGAAGGGGTGGGGCCTGGACTCCAGGACTTGCAGGCCCTATCTTCCAGCTGATGCCTGTGTTCTGTCTCCTGCTTTAATTTGAATTTCCTCTAGAGCTAATGACGTGGAGCATTTTTAATACGTTGTTGGCCCTCTGTCTTCTTTGGTGATGTGTGCGTTCAAATCTTTTGCCCATTTTTAAACTGAATTATCTGTCATCATTTATTGAGTCATAAGAGTTCTTTGTATATTCTGGGCACAAGTCCTTTATCAGATAACTGACTTGCTAATATTTTTCCCTAGTTTGCTTTTCACTTTTTTTTTTTAATTTTTAAAAATTTTAATTATTTATTGAGACTGAGTTTCGCTCTTGTCACCTAGGCTGGAGTGCAGTGGCATGAACTTGGTTCACTGCAACCTTCGCCTCCCAGGTTCAAGTGATTCTCCTGTCTCAGCCACCTGAGTAGCTGGGATTACAGGTGCCCACCACCACGCCTGGCTAATTTTTTTATTGCTAGTAGAGACGGGGTTTTGCCATGTTGGCCGGGCTGGTTTCGAACTCCTGACCTTAGGCGATCTGCCCATCTCAGCCTCCCAGAGTGCTGGGATTACAGGCTTGAGCCACAGCACCGGCCCTTTTGACTTTTTAAATAATGCTTTTAATGCAAAAAGTTTTCAATGTTTTTAATTTTGATGAAGTCTGATTTTCCATTTATTTTTCTTTTGGCACTTGTGCTTTTTTGGTGACAGATCTAAGGCATCTTTACCTGACTCTAGGGTGGAGGTTCATCTCTGTTTTCTTCTCAGAGGCTGTTAGCTGTAGCCCTACACATGGTCATGGGGGCTGAGCGCATTCCTGCACGTGGTTGGAGTGGGGCCTGCGCCACTGGTGGCTGTGTGGACTCCCGTGTGGTTGGGGTGGGACCTGCGCCACTGGTGGCTGTGTGGACTCCCGTGTGGTTGGGGTGGGGCCTGTGCCACTAGTGGCTGTGTGGACTCCCGTGTGGTTGGGGTGGGGCCTGAGCCAGTGGTGGCTGTGTGGACGCCCATGTGGTTGGGGTGGGGCCTGAGCCAGTGGTGGCTGTGTGGACGCCCGTGTGGTTGGGGTGGGGCCTGCGCCTTTGGTGGCTGTGTGGACGCCTGTGTGGTTGGGGTGGGGCCTGTGCCACTGGTGGCTGTGTGGACGCCCACCTGGCCCAGCACCATTGACCTTCCTTCACTTTCTATCAGAATGGTTTTCCTTGAATAATTTACAACTTTCCTACTTTGGACCTTAGCATAAATGTGTGTGAAAGTGGGCTTGTGTTAGGTTCTGAGTTGATGGTAGCCATGCATGCACTATGGTAATTGCCCACAGGTCCAGTGTGGTGAGGAACCCAACCCCACCCGTGCTGGCCCAGGACAACGGAGGTTTGTTGAATGGCAAAGCCCACTGGCCTCTGCCTCTTAATTGGGGTTGCAGTTTAAGTCTCCATCTGTGGGGTGGCTGTATCTCTGGGTGACTCATGCATGGGCAGCCACAGCTGTGCGCTCTCTAAGCATGGTCAGCAGTGGGGCCCTCCCTCCGCCCAGGAGCGAGGACAGCGGTGCAGTCAGGACTTTGTACTGGATCTCTGGAGAAGGGAAGCGGTGTAAGGTACTGGAATGCGTGTTCTACGTTTAGTGCATGAAGTGAGCCACCAGCTGCTCCACACCAGGTACCTTCAAAACATCACAGTGGCCCTGAGGGGGGCCTGGACTTGAGCACATGCCAAGGACATCATTCTGTTCGTGGCCATGGTCTCTGTGGAGGTCTCTGAGTTTCCCGCACTGCCAGGCAGCCCAGTTACAGAAGCTTGTCTGTGCGGCATGGAGGCTCGAGGCGGAGGCCGGGGAGCAGCCATGAGGCCCTTCACCCCACAGGGAGCTGCAGGTTCATGTCTCACACATGCCACGCAGTGCAGGGCATTGTCATGGCGTGTTTAAAACTTTAAGACCACACGTGCCACATGTGTGCCCATGAGGGTGAGGCGAAAGCGTGGCCTTTGTTCTAACTGGCACTTTTCTCTGTCTCTCTAGCCCCTTTTATGGAGAAGACTTTTACTGTGAAATTCCTCGGAGCTTTCGTCACCTGTCCTTCTATATTTTCGATAGAGATGTTTTCCGGAGGGATTCCATCATAGGTAGGTAATGAATGGGCATTTACTTCCCTTTTCCAGCCCTGTCTGTGCTGGGGGAGTACTAGCATTTCAGTCCAGATCCTGCCTGGATGGTGCTGAAAGGTTGCTGCAGCTCTCAGGGTCACGGCAGCCCTGGGGTCCCGGCAGCCCTCGGGGTCACGGCAGCCCTGGGGTCCTGGCAGCCCTCGGGGTCACGGCAGCCCTGGGTGTCCCTCCTGATCTGCTCTCGGGATCTGGCTGGGTGCTGTGGTCTCTGCTGGGGCATCACACCAGGCTCAGGTCAGTGAGCATAGGACGTGCCAGGCAAGGCTTCTGTGGCTCCTAAAGACGAGGGCACAGCATCCCTGATGCTCCCCAGAAGACTTCCCAGGGCTTTTCCCCAGGGCATCTGTAAGGGGACCTTTGCACAGACGTGGGGCCCTCCATCCTCACCACATCCTGCTGTCCCTGTTCCAACTTTAGTCCCCATGGTGTGGCCATAGGAAGGGCGAGTGGGGGCATGTGGCCTCAGTTTCCCCGGTTTTCAGGGCAATACCGTTACCTGCAGGAGATGGTGTGTTTGGAACAGGGGTGGGCTGCTCTTTGGGCAAGCTCATGGGAAGCTCCCTGACCTCATGGGGTCACAGGGAGATGGCATTCTGTAAGTCATGGGTCCTCTCGGCAGAGTGGACTTCAGGTCACTCGGGGAGTCCCTCGTTCCTAAATGCAGCTGGAGGACCTGCCAGGAGCGGAGCTCATGCAGCAGGCGTGGGAGGCTGGGGCATCAGGCTAATTCCCACTGTGATCCCAGGAGAGCCTGGAAGGGGAGGAGGGCTCCTGCTCACACCCAGGACGGGTGGCCCGGGAACCAGTGTGCACTGGCTGCCATGGCCTGAACCCAGACCCCAGATGGTGCAGGCTGCTTGTCTCCATGGCTGCCAGAATGCTGAGTGAGACAGAGCAGGAGGAGGAGTCCCCCAGGGGACCCCAGCTCAGCCCTAGGCAGCCTGAGGGCCCGGGGGTGCAGGAGGCCAGCAAGGCGACGAGGGTACTGTGCAGGGCCAGGGGCCACCCATCTGATGCTCCCTGCTCATACTGGCTTCTCACGCTGTGTCACGGTCACTGCGCCCCACACTGGCTGCCCCTTTTCTCAGTGCTTGTCTATATCTATCAGCTGTGGGCTTTCTTCATCGTCTGTGGTCCACCGTTTGTGATCTGGTCCGTTCCCAGTGCTCAGCACACGGAAGCGTGAGAGGCACAGCCAAAGGTTCCTCCAAGGGGAGCCCGCGTGTCCTAAAGCCCACCCTGTCCCCACTGGGCGGCTGGCAGCTGGTACATGCCTGCGGGACATTGTGAGAGAGAGGGTGTGAGTGACACTGCCCAGCAGGTACCCAGCTGATGCCAGTCTGCACGCCGCTGTGTCCCGGGCTCGACCACAGTCCCCAGCAGAGGCAAGGAGAGAGACGCTAGCCTGACCGGTCTTGCCCAATGCCTGGCGTTGAGATGGCCTGGCTGGGTGGTGGCTATGGACCCGGAGGCCCTTAGGGCTGGGCAGGCCCTCATGTGACATCAATAAGGCCCGTGGAGTGCTATGGCCCTCACCGTTGCAGGGATCAGGACATGGACATTTTTGGCACAGTTATTCACTGTGCCCAGATGATGATTCTTAGAAACCACTCTGCTTTTCATACAAGTCTCCATAGTTTGTTTAGAAGATACATGGGGCCACATGGATCTCAGATGATTTCACTTCATTTTGAGCAGGAACACCATGCCGGGTGCTTCTGCAGCGGACACCCTGGCCCTGAAATGCAATTGCAGGAGATGTTTGCGCTCCTGAGTACAGTGAGCACCTGGCCCTGTTCAGGGTCTTGCTGAGCTGGGCCTCGTGCAGCCTCGTTGGTGAGATGGGCTTGAGGGTCCAGCGTGATCCCCACACTCTGCTGCTCAGCATGTGCCTGGGAGGCCCTTAGGCCTGTAGCTTTGTGTTACATTTGAGCTCTTTGGGCACTGGGGAAGGGCTCCTTCTTCATCTCCCTCTACGTAGGGCGTTGGCTCCAGGGCTGGTGGCTGGCAGCTCTCCCTCCTGCCTTCGAGCGCAGCTGCTCTGCACCCCCATCCTCAGGCACCTTCCCCTCCATCTGCATATCCTGCCATGCCTACCTCAGGACTCATTGCAGGAGATGGCCTCAGACCCCGTGGCATGGCTGGGCTGCTCTCTGTGGCCTACCTCCCCTTTCCTGCTCGCTGGTCTTGGTACTTTTGCCTGTTGTACTGCGTCCACTGGACAGCTTCTTGGAGCCCGTGGTCCTGCAGAGCAGGCCTGTGTCTCACTCCTGAGTTCTCAGCATTCGCCAGCTATTCCCAGAAGAAAGGTAGTATGGAACCCAGATCCTTCAGCAGATACTAATGGTGTATCTGACGGGGCTCAGCCTGTGCTGGGTGCCACACATGAATCGAGGTGAACCGAGGTGTGAATGTGCCGTGTCAGCTCTCATCACCGCTCTGTTTATACACGAGAATCAACAGGGACTTGATTCATTCTCCGAGGCATATAAGAGTGAGATATTTTTTGAGTGGCAACACTAAGGAAAAAGAAATTTAAGATTTTTTGCACGTTTAAATAAGAGAAACTGTAACCAAATAAGATGTTTATTAATCATTCTGTTGGTGTTTGCTGGTGGTTCTTGGAGGCTTTCCAATGATGGCACCTAGACTTAGATGTTTCACTGTGGCTTTTACAGCCATGAAAATGGGGAGCTGTCTGGCTCTCTGGTAATGATTTATCGTTATGACTGGTAATTACGTTATTACCAGGAATGAAACACCAAGCTCTGGGGAATGAGTTTCTGGGTGAAAGTGCACAGTTGCCACTGGCTTCCTGGCTGCATGGTTCTGCTGGTTCCCTTGTTCACAGCAGCCGCCCATGCCCTGAGGAAACCCCATCTGCTAGCAAGCTTTCCTCGGGGCAGCTACGGCTGTGCTCAGTTACAAGCTCAGGTGCAGGAGCGAGGGGAGCACTGACAGGTGCCAGAAGGAAGTAGGGGCACATTCCTATGGGGTTGGGGCATGGGTTGGGGTCGGGAGCACATCTTCAGCCTGAAGGGAGGGTGGGTAGCGACTGAAACCAAGAAAGCCAGCTGAAGCCGTGCCGGGATTCAGTGTCCCGGCGAGTGAGACTTGGGGAAACAAATCCCTGACCTCAGCCCTCCCCAGCCGACACCGGCTATAGTCAGGTCTCCACCACTGTGGGTCAGAAACCTCCCAGGGCGAGCAGGAGTGGAAGGAAGAAATGTCCAGCGTAGGCAGGCGTCGGGCGGCGTGACCATTGGCCTCCTCTGTCCCTGGGTCCTGTGGCCCACAGAGTGCTGCTGCCAGAGGGAGCTGTCAGTGAAGCTGGGCTCCAGCTGCAGCACCGTGGCCTGCAGGACACGCGGGGCTCAGGCGCCTTCAGGTTTCCAGGTGCAGGAAGGTGACCTCTGCCTGGACTCTGCTGCCAGCACTCCTGCATGGTTTCTTCCCGTTGGCCGGACCTGCACCCATGGAGTGGGGACCAGAAACTCTGGCTCCCGGCAGCTCGGGTGCGTGAAACGGGGAAGCAAGCCAGGGCCAGCTTGGTCCTGTCAGTGAGGAGCACTAGGGTCTCCCACCCCCATCCTGGTGCCTCCCTCCTCTTCCTGCTAGGCCTCCACCTTCCTCTGGGCCCCAGCTCTGGTAGCACTGCATCCTCCTTCGTTTGCCCCTCCAGCCTCTGGACACTGAGGTTTTCCAGTGGGGTGGGGTGTAGTGAGACCTGCATTCGTTATGTATAAATCAGGTGGTCTACCGTTGACATGTGGTAAATTCACCTGTTTAAGTGTAGCCTCACCAGTGTACACAGCTGTGTAGACAGCACCACAGCTAAGGTGCATTCCCACAGCCCAGAATGCTCCTTTGGGCCCCTTGGGGGTGGATTTCTACCCTGACCCACAGCGCCTGGCAGCCACAGCTCTGGAGCCTGTTTGCACAGTTTTGCCTTTTCCAGGAGGCCACATGAGTCAATCCTTGGAGGGGCCGCCCTCTGCCACCGCACTGGCCCCGCGCCGTGCAGCTGTGAGCCAGGTCGCCCCTCCCACTGCCCATGGGTTTCCATCATACAGATGCACCTTAGTGGCCTCGTCGCTCACTAGATGGTGTCTGATCCTCAGCAATTATGAACAAAGCCGCTGCAAACATTTATCGGTCTTTGTGTGGACACCTGTTTCTGCTTCTTACTCTGGGGTAAATACCTGGGAGTGAGGTTGCTGGGCCCACTGTACGGTGTGTTTACTGTGACTGGAAACTACCCAACTGTGTCCCCAGATGGCCACCCCACTCCGCACACTCCACGTTCTCAGCACAAGGTGTTTCGCATCCTGCCCAGCCCTTAGGTTTGTGAGTTTTTATTCTCCGGTTAATGTTTCCACTCCCATAGGTGTGCACTGTCTCACTGTGGTTTTATTGCATGCCTGTGAAGAGTGACATTGAGAACCTTTTCATGGGCTCATTGACTGCTCTATCCCTTCTTTGGTAAATTGTTCAAATCTTTTGCCCTTTTAATTGGGTTGCCTTCTTGTTACTGAGTTTGTAAAGTTCTCTGTATATTCTTGATGCAAGTGCATCACAAGTGTGTTTTGCAAATATTTTCTTCCAGTCTGTGGCTTGTATTTCATTTTCTTGCCATTTGAAGAGCTGAAGTTTTTAATTTTGATGGTCTAGTTTATCATATTTTTTCTTATATGATTTGTACCTGTGTGTCGTATCTAAGAAAGTCTTGCCTGTCCCACGGTTGTGGCAGTTTTCTCCTGGAAAGCATGTGCTTTTAGCTTTTATGTTTAGTTCCATAATCTATTTCAAGCTAATTTTCACTTATGGCGCAAAAAAAAAAGGATTGGGGTTCAGTTTTTTCCATGTAGATGTCTGTTTGTTCCAGCACTCTTGGTTGAAAGACAACCCTTCCTCTGTTGGTGACTTTGGTACATTTACAGCTTAGTTGGCTGCAGTGTGTGCTGTTTCTGGCTTCAACATTCTGTTCCGTGTGAGGTAGGAGGCGGGGCTCTGACACCGGACCAAATTGAGGACTAGCTAAGACAGGGATGGGTGGAAGCAGCTTTCCATCAGACATGCCCACCAGTGTGCCATGTCAGCTTACCATTGCCATGGCAATGCGTGGAGGTTACCACCCTTTTCCTTAGGAACAACCCAGTGACTCAGAAGTTACCACCGTTTCTCCAGAAGTTTCTTCATAATCTGTCCCTTAATTGACGTATAGTTAAAAGTGGGCATACATATAACTGCAGGACTGCCTGGAGCTGTCACTCTCAACTCACCACCTGTGGGGGGCTCTGCTCTGCAGGAGTGGTTTCCAAGCTGTCACACTGCCACCTGCATAGAACCGTTTTCTTCCACCACCAGCTCGTTCTTGAATTCTTTCCTGGTGAAGCTACAGATCCTCTGAGTCTAAGCCCCAGTTTGGAGCTCGCCTGCCCTGCGTCATAGTGACCCACCTGTCCTTGTGTCAGTACCACGTAGTTTTGATCACCGTAGCTTCATAGCAGGTCTTACGTTGTAGTGTGACATCATCAAATTTGTTTTTGTTTAAACTTGTTTTGCTATTCTGGACCCTTTGAATTGCCATATGCATTTTTGAATGAGCTTCTCCATTTCCAAAATAGTCCCTCAGGAATCTTGATTGAGATTACATTGATCTGTAGATTAATTTGGGGAGAATTGCCATCTTAACAAAATTGAGTCTTCAAATCCATGGACATGGTATATCTTTCTGTGTGCTTAGGTCTTTTACATTTCTCTCATCAGTGTTTTGTGATGTGTTTTTCAGCCTACACATTTTCACATTTAAAAACATTTATTTCTCTATGTTTTATGTGTTTAGCGGAGCAGTCAAAGATTTCTTAGGTGGTCCACCAAAAGTACCAGCCACGAAAGTGTAATTTTGTGAGTGTTGCTCATTCTGTTTAATCTTCATGACATTGCTTGTATGTACAAACGCAGTTGATATCTGCATATTGACTTTGTATTCTCAGTTCTTGCTAAACACACTCATTAGGTGTATTAACTTTGCTTGTAGGTTTTTTTTTTTTTTTTTTGTACATTCTATGAATAAAGGCTTTTATTTCTGTTTTTGGAATCTGTATGGCCTTTGTTTTTTGCCTCGTGGCCCTGGCTGGGACACAGGTGGGGTCAGAGCGTGATGTGTGCGTCTTGGCTACATTCCCTGTCTCGGGTGGCTCTTGCATGGTTGTGTCCTGTGGCTGCTTTTTATTCTGGTCCCTCTGCAGCTGGCCCCCTGTCTCGTGCCCTTCAGACCACTGGCTCCTCCTTTCTGAATGGGCCTGGCCAGCACAGATGGAGCAAAAGAAAGTGACCCTCCGGCATCTCATGGTAGAAGACCACCACCTTTGCCCAAGTGAGAGGGGAGGCCCAGAGTGTTCAGCAAACTTTTTGGTGTGACTCAACTAGATCAGGACAACCTTGTGGATTACGTACATCAAAAACATTTAAATAGATGCTGTGGCTTCTAGATCCAGCCTTCTCTCAGGGCAGTGTCCAGAGACACAGACATGCTTAAAATGTCCATGTGGCTTCGTTGTTGAATGTGGCCAACTCTAGAAGGAGAGGTTGGGGGCTGGTGACAGTGGTGACCCCATGTCGGGAGTGAGGTGGCAGGGCAGGGATTCCTTCTCAAAGGGATTTTAAGTCCTTTTGAATGTCGTGGATTTTGTTCTCCTTCTGTGTTACCTATTAACAAATTAAGTGAAGTACTTCTAAAAATAAAAGCCTTGTAATCATGCGAGTTACAAGATTCTTACCAACATTCAATATGTGACTTCTTTCTGCCCCAGTTGCAGCTCATAAAAATGTGAAGACACAATGACATTGCAAGTATTTAAAACTTCAAACCGTCCAGCAGAAGGAGCTTGGGTCTGAAGGTTTCTTTATCCCTTTCACTGAAATATGTTGCCTAACTCCGTTTTAAGAAGTTTTTGCTTTCATGTGGCTTTTTTTTCCCATGAGACTGAAAACCGATATTCACGTTGTGGGGGAAAGGGGAGGTTTCACAAGAACCATGCAGCCGACGTCAGAAGAGGGACAGAGCCCCCACTCAGGGCCCTTGAAGTCAAGGCCACCCGCCCAGGCCTGCTGGGGGGAGGGCGAGGGACACAGTGAGTGAGGAGGGGCAGAGAAGTCAAGGCACCTGCCAAGGGCTGGCGGTGGGAGGGCCAGGCAGGGGGTAAAGAAGTCACAGGCGTCCTCCCAGGGCCAGTGGTGGGAGGGTGGGGGGGGGGCGCAGGGGGCCAGATGTTAGGGCGGAGCCGAGTCCTGGCTGGCGTCCATCCTTGCGGTCTGTGCCACTGGAGGGAATCCATGTGCTGTGTCATTGGGTCTCTCTGAGCTTCCCTGGCGCTCTTCTTCCGCATGTGCCAAGGCCCGTTTTCTGCACCCGCCCCCCCCCAACCGTTCTTGCCTTGGCTGTCGCCTGCCCTCAGTGATTTCAGTGTCCCGTGAAGCTCTAGATGGTCTGTGCATGTCTGCGTGGCAAGAGCTGCGCCAACAAGATCACCGGCCAATCCTGCAAACCTGTGAGCGCCTGTGTGCTGTGTCCACGTCCGGCTGGTTGTGGAACTGGCTGGTCCTGACTGTGAGCAGTGGGTCCTGGAGCTTCCATTGGCTGGGAAGGGGCTCCGGTCCTGGCTGTGAGTGGGGTCCCACAGCTGTTGTTGGCTGGGAAGGGGGTCTGGCCCTGGCTGTGAGTGGGGCCCCAGAGTTGTTTGTGGCTGGGAAGGGGCTCCTGCGGTGACTGTGAGTGGGGTCCCACAGCTGTTGTTGGCTGGGAAGGGGCTCCCACCCTGGCTGTGAGTGGAGTCCCACAGCTGTTGTTGGCTGGGAAGGGGGTCCCGCCCTGGCTGTGAGTGGGG